AACTTTCACAGTAAATTCCTAACATTATTAGGTGTTCTCTGTAATTTTTGTAGCTCCATAATAATTAATTTGCTAAGGTAACTAAATGAGCCCTAATTCAAAAATATAGGTTTAATCCATGAAATGCCGAAACACTTGGGATTTTAAAACTAGAACATTTTTCGGGAAACAACGCCTTATTCGACAAAGTGGATACGTAGACTAGTACATTAGTTATTTAAGCTAGCTCATTAGCTTGAGGATCGTAATCGTATTTTTAAGAGTTGCGGTTACCGTTGATTAATTGCGTCTCTACGTTGCATCCACGTATATCATAATAGGAACAACGATGGATCATGGAGTCGACCGAGGTAGCGGAAAAGATGGTGCCTCGATGATCGTGTCACTATGATGGAATGCTAACTTTTGGTTATATCTTACTCAGGCAAGCTCCGGTGCATAACCCCTATTATTCTACACTTTATTTTATGCTTGTGCATTAAGTTTTAAGGAGTTGAATGAAACCCACTTGCATATATATATCATTATCCTATGAGTCTTACTAGTATGACAGGATCGTGTAGATTGTTATGCTACAGAACTCCGGTAGAAGTCGAGTGATTGCCTGTCACTCGCGAGAGATAGGAAATATATTATTGTTACTATTATCATATTACTATCACATGGAATATATATGGATAATAATTGAAGACCGGGCGGGATCATACTTTGGATTTGGATTTGGACTTGGTTAGGTAACCGAGCGAGGCTCTAGTTGCATTTGTCCCGCCTGTGTCAATTGAAGATCGTCCACTAAGACTTATTATCCTGAGCACATACTTGCTTATGAGAGCGGGAAGGCTCGTTGCTCTCTTGTCATGAGTTCCGGCTCTTTCCGGACCGACTGATTGAAGGCGAGGATAGTGGAGGTCTAAGCACTACACTGAGTCCGGGGCTCAGGTGTAGGGGCTTGGAGTCCAAGTTTGGACGGGGACCTAGACCCCTTGACAGGAGAGTGGTGGGTTGGTCCTGCTTGTGCCTGAGGTACAAGCGGGCGCGTGTGTTTCAGGGTACCTAGCTGGGTTACATTGCTTCACGAATAGCCATGTGATACGGTACGACTTGGCTACGATCTAGCACCGTAGTAAGAACTAGAATATGAAAGATGGTAAAATGGTTCTGATTGCTTACCACATGCTTAAAAAGTAGCACATGTGCTTACATAGAATAGTTAGTTAATGAACTAATGATGACTGCTAATGAAATTGAATATAAGAACGCACGTGTAGTAATGCTTCCGCAAATGTAATAACCCACAGGCCAGATAGCCTTGCATATCCTTGGAGTCTTTTCTTTCCTCCTGACGGGTAAGTCTTGCGGAGTACAATTGAGTACTCAGAGTTTGTTCTACCATGTTGCAGGTGACAGGAACATGTTGAGTTGACACTTGTGTGTGGAAACCTTCTGGTGGGCTCAGCAAGGATTTCCTTAACGTTGTAGACATAGAGTTATTTGAAACTTCCACCCAAAAATATTTTACAATGGAAAATTTTATAACATGTTATGATGTATATAACGGATCATCATGTTAATATTTAACTTGTCATTAAATAATTTTATTTCCGCTGAAACTCTAATAACATGGTTATATTCCGCTGCTATAAACAATAAATATTATACTCTGATGTTGCATGGAAAGTGATGTAAGAAATTGCTAAATATTGTAAGCTTTATTCTTCCATTTATGATCCTAATGAAAAAATGTGGATTTTCAAGTTCTTCCTTGGGGTGTGCTTGACGGAACTACGTAGTTTAGTGTCATCTCTTGGGTACTTAGTGTCTTATGAAAGACAAGTACTCCTGGAAGGCATTAGATTAGACGGTTCTGCCACAATATTGCAGGCACAACTAATTATTTCTCCTATTGGCAAACTTTTGCCAAATATGCTCAGTTAAGTCTTTTTCAGTTGGGTATGTATTGGTTGATCTGCTCTTCTACGTAAAATTTCAGAGAAATTTGGGCCACCACCCTTTTGTACTTCTGGAGGTAGAGCAATTGATGATCCACCTTGCTCATTCAAGTTAATAGGAAATTTCACCATCTCTTTCTCATCTTCGACTATTATATTGTGGAGTATGACACAAGTTTTTCGCTAGTCTGAAACTTGGCTGAAACTGGCTGAAAACACTGGCTGAAATATTGTGAGAGAAAAACACTGTTCCGGCTAAAAAAAGAAGCCGAACAAGCCAAATTTCAGACCAGCCGAACGAGGCCACTCTTCCTTTTCCACAGCCATGATGGACGACGCACGATATTAAACAATGACTGCAAAACTCCAAAAGCACGCTCAATATCTTTCCTGCACCCTTACAGCTTGTGTTTCTCCATCCGAGGTGCTTTCGATGACTTCACAAAGGCTGCCCATTCTGGGTATATTCCATCAGCAAGGTAGTAGCCTGTGTTATATTGCCTCCCATTAACAGAAAACTGAACCTAAGGTGCTTGACCTTTCAATGCTTCAATGAATAACGGGGACTGATTCGACACATTAATTATTAGAACCAGGCACACCAAAAAAAACATGCCATGTTCTGAGATCCTGCGAAGCAACTGCTTCCAGGATGATCGTTGGGACTCCGTAGTCGCCGCGCGGGTAAATTGCCCCTTCCAAGCCGTAGGACAATTTTCCCACCTCCAATGCTTGCAATCGATGCTTCCCAACATGCCTGGAAAGCCACGAGACTCATTGACCTAAAGTAGACGCTTTGCCATTGATTGGATCATTTGAATTGTTTAACCTTTTAACCACCTACAGTTCAAGCAATTTTAGTGTTGTTAGCCATGCAAGACGTACATGAAAATACAAAATAAATATATAATAATGCAACTCACCAAGCGCTCTTCCTCTAGCTTCGTCCATTGTAGCCGTCTGTCAATCCTAGCACCATTTCCATCATCCTCATCATTGTCTAAATTGATAAGGAGCTGGAGTCGCAGATGAGACTCAGAAACTGACATTCCTGGACTCCTTTTCCCTCTACTTCCAGGAACTAAATGAGGTGGGATCGCTTGGGGAAGTGTCGGACTCCATGGATTATTGAAAAAACTGAGGAAACCACCTGGTGGACGATTATCCACACCCGTGCAGCTAGATAAATAAATCCATATGACTATAACAGCTTAAAAAGGGACGAAGTCAACTAAAACTTGAATACTCGTACAGTAAAAAACAGGATTCCTTTCAGACGTGCAGAGAAATTTAGGATAAATATTGCTACATACTAACAAGCTCTAGAATCTAAAGACTAGTAACGAGAGGATCTCCCAACTTTCCACTAATATATTTGATATAAAAAAAGATGCAAAGATGTACGCTGCAGGAGGTACTTGCCATTTGTTTGGATCAGAGTCGATGTCATCTTTCTGAACTGGTTGGGAAGACGATGCAGCGGCGCCACCATCACAGCTAGGTGCAGGCCACCACGTCATAGCTTGCTGGGGCACCGGTGGCCCGCACCACCAAGGGCCGGGAGCTGCAGACCCCGGCGTGGTCTTCATGGAAGCTGGTGGCCCAGGGAAACACCCAGGCGTAGAGGACCCTGGTGGTGTCGGAGGCAACCCGTGGACAGACGGAGAAGAACTTGGAAAGGGGTGAGGCGGCGGCGCCATCTCTCTCTTCGACGGGCGAGACATCAGATTTGTTCTAGGTAGGGTTGTAAGAGCAAGTATAGTAAGCCTGATTCAGCCGGCGAAAAGGAACGCCACGTCAGAACAAGCCCATGTGGAAGAAGCAGAAAATAAGAGAGAGGAGAGCCGGCGCTTATCTCTTCGCCAGGCTGAATGCATTGATCGAGGATTAAAACGCCGGCATACAGCCGGTCGCAGGGGAAAGAGCTGGCGCTTTGCTGCCCCTCCCAAATTCCGTGTGCACGCATGTACCAGACATTAAATGCTTGTATGCTAGTGCAGCCAACTCATGAGTTATTCCATAATAACACTAGTTGGCTATATATTGCTAGCTTTATAAGACATGACACTTGTTATATTCTTCGGCTGGCTAAATCATTAGCCTTGCTCTAACGGATAGAAAACCTTGAACAGATAGCAGGGGAACTTAAATCATCACAAAAAGAAGACGATTCGGCTTCAGGAATATAGGATTTGGCGCGTGAAATCACCGATTTGGCGCGAGGCGGAGAAGATTTGGCGCGCTCTAGCGTGGGGAAAAATTTCCGTGGGAGGGAGGAAGGAGGCGAGGCGCACCGGATCGAGGAGGCAAGAGAGGGACCCACAAACAATATTCCTAATCGACTAGCTGGACGCTAAATCGGCTCCACCGCTTGGTTTCCCGTGCTGGAGCTCGGCGTGAGATGCGACGCCAAGCTCATTCTCTCTCCTCTTTTCTCTTTCTTTCCACGTAGGATTTTGCTAAGCTGTCTTGGTTATTAGCCAAGCTGGCTTATTATACCTGGTCTAAGGACCAAACAAAGATGCGTGAATCTCGGATGAACACAAGGCCAGCTTGGCAGAGCTTGGTTCCTAGCTTTTTCGGAGTGGATTATGTGAATCCCTGCCAATCACTTATAAAATGTAACTGGATTCAGGTGAGAAGCTGATGATAATCACTTCTCTATTTATACTATGACCTGGAGAGAAAAAAAAACGCTCTCCACTCCTTCCCATTACTCCCCATTTATTTGCCACAGGAATTACTCCAGAATTGATTTTCACCTGCTCCGCACATTATATTGCTCTCCCCGAGAATCACTCCTTGGGAGAATCAAGTAAAGCTCAAGAATCAGGAATGAGAGTTCTATGAAAGTGGTCCTAATGAATCTTACATGTCAAAGGATGTAAATATGCTTTCCATTTTTATTATAATGGTAAAGTTACAAAATATTTTTAGAAAAATATAACAGTCACTCAAAAGTTAAATATGACAAAACACCTAGCATACAACATCCCACCAAAATCTCAAGTCCTGAAATTAGAATTTAGTTCCAAGGTAAACAAGTGCCCGTCAAAAGGTCCGGCTCACCCGGTCCAGCAGCCCGATCTCCTCCACGTCCACCAGGAGCCGGCTGTCCTTGTCCTTCCACCCGATCAGCTGCATGCACGCAATAGAAGCATGGCACATCAAGCACCTCAAACCTAGATAGCTCACACGCTGAACATCGAAATCGACTTGTGTGTAAAGGACCGGCCGGACCTTTGCGCCGGCGATGGTATTGGTGCTGTAGAGCCTGGCGTTGTCGACGAGGTCGCAGTACTTGCGGAACTTGCCGGCGAAGCGCTTGTGCGACTTGAGCTGCGAGTGCACCCGCACGGCTCTCCCAGATATGATAGCCCGCCTCATGCCCCTGACGACGGCGAGGTAGGCGCCGCAGATGATCCCGACGAGCTCGATGCGGGACGGCTTCCTCGTCCTGCTGGCGGGCCGTCCCTGTCCCTGCTGCTCGCCGTCCGCCTCCTCCTCCACGGGCTCCCAGTACTTCTCCGTGGTCGTCCCGTCGGCCGCGACCTTGTAGCCGACCTCCATCCGGTACCGCTGCCGGTGCACGGACCGCGCCATGGCGATGGTCTGCCGCACGAACGGCTCCCACGACAGGGTGTCGTCCATGATCACGTCCCGCCCCTCGTTCAGCGCCGTCACCAGCAGCGACGCCGCCGCGTCCGTCGACGACTGGTGCACCTGGTGATCAGTGATCAGTCACCTGGTGCGGTGGGAACAGGAACAGCAGCTCCGATGATGGACGTACCAGCTCGGCAGTCTGCAGCATGTCGGTGTGGTGGCCCCGCGAGCTGATGGCTTGGTAGATCACGTCCGACTCCTTGAACGCGTCGGCCTCCACAACCACGGCGTTCGCCGCCGCCCCAGTCCAGAACACCCCGCAGGGCATCGTATTGCATCGCAGGGGAGTAGGTACGTCCCTGATGTTCTCTATATATATGCTGCACCTGGTTTTGGAAAGAATGTGTCGGTGCGAAAAGTGATCAACAAATAAATATTTATAGTTTTATCGTGCGTTGTGATTGAATGTGGCCTAACACTCAATGACACAGGATTTATACTGGCTTAGGCAACAGGCCCTACGTCCAGTTAAGGTCGGTCGGTGACTTTATTCCTGAGCCCAGGTGCTCGAAGTTTGTTGTGGGGTTACAAATGAGTAAGGAATGATAAGGGGTGTTAGAGGTCCGATCGGAGGAGCGTATGCTCTGTGTGTCTCTAGAGTTGTTGAGCTGTTGTGTTCTCGAGTCATCGAGAAAGTCTTCGAGAGAGATAGTTTGGATGGTCATTTAGTGTCTCATTTGAGCAAGTTTGACCAAGTCAAATTTGGTCAAATAAAAAAACAACATTTTGACTCTAGTATTATGAACTCTAAATGACTTCAAATTGAAAAGTTTTGAATACCAAGTTTGTTCAACCCATCAAGATATACAATTCTTGTTTTGGTCAACTTTCCATTTAAGATAGTTTGGATGGTTCAAATTTGTGATTTTTAAATTTCGATGCTTACAAACTAGTTTTCGAAACCCTAGATTGTCTCAAGTTGAAAAGTTTTGAATACCAAGTTTGTTCAGCTCATCAAGATCTACAATTCTTATATAGGCTATTTTTTCATTTGAGTAAGTTTGAATAAAATGTAGTTCAAATTTCACAAGTGTGTGATATAGTTTCAGAAAGTCTATATAAAATTCAAGAATTTGTGACTAGTGTTTGATAAAACTTTCTCAAATGAGAAAATGAGCTATGTAACAATTGTAGATCTTATTGAGATGATCAAACTTGGTATTCAGAGTTTTTTCATCTGAGGTCATTTAGTGTCTCATTTGAGCAAGTTTGACCAAGTTAAATTTGGTCAAATGAAAAAACAACACTTTGACTCTAGTATTATGAACTCTAAATGACTTCTAATTGAAAAGTTTTGAATACAAAGTTTGTTCAACTCATCAAGATCTACAATTGTTGTTTTGGTCAACTTTCCATTTGAGATAGTTTGGACGGTTCAAATTTGTGATTTTTAAATTTCGACGTTTACAAACTAGTTTTCGGAACCCTAGATTGTCTCAAATTGAAAAGTTTTGAATACCAAATTTGTTCATATCATCAAGATCTACAATCCTTATATAGGTCATTTTTTCATTTAAGAAAGTTTGAACAAAATATAGTTCAAATTTCAAAAGTGTGTGACATAGTTTCAGAAAGTCTATATGAGATTCAAGAATTTATGACTAGTGTTTGATAAAACTTTCTCAAATGGGAAAATGAGCTATGTAACAATTGTAGATCTTGCTGAGATGATCAAACTTGGTATTCAGAGTTTTTTCATCTGAGGTCATTTAGTGTCTCATTTGAGCAAGTTTGACCAAGTCAAATTTGGTCAAATGAAAAAACAACACTTTGACTCTAGTATTATGAACTCTAAATGACTTCAAATTGAAAAGTTTTGAATACCAAGTTTGTTCAACCCATCAAAATCTACAATTGTTGTTTTGGTCAACTTTCCATTTAAGATAGTTTGGATGGTTTAAATTTGTGATTTTTAAATTTTGACGCCTATAAACTAGTTTTCCATTTGAGAAAGTTTGGACGGTTTAAATTTTGAAGTACTAAATGATTTCAAACGAAAAAGTTGTAAACAACAAAGTTTCATAACTTTTTGAGATCTACAATTTTTATTTTGATCATTTCTTCATCCAAGGTCGTTTGAATAATATCCGGATAATATCCGTTTAAAAATTTCCGGATATATCCGATACTTAACCGGATTATCCGATATCCGCCGGATATCGATGATATTACATCCGTATTTGATATCCGCCTAAGATATCCGTTTTATTATCCGTATCCGAAAAAAATTACGGATATCCGAGTAACTATCCAGATAAGTGTTCATATTTGTTCGGTCGAACGGACGGTCGAATAAATATCCGTACCGTTTTCATCCGTACTCAGACCTCATCTTCCTGTAACAAGAAACCAACAACAAAATTCATTTCTAACTAATCCGAAGAGACGCAAAATAGAGGTTAATTTCATCCATATTCTCGGGAAATGGAATGAATAAAAAAGGAAAAGAAACATTGATATGTACTAGTAGGATGTTTCACATTAATTTTGTGCCGGATCGGATAGGCGTACTGTAATTACCTAGTGGCCTCCATTACCATTCTCCTGAGTTTTCTTCTAGGCTGCTCGTGGGTCAGAACCTATTTTATGCAAGTAAACCCAACGACATTAGTATATGCATGGCACACAAAAATGATTCCAGGAGGACGCGTCGGTGCGTGCACAAATACTGTTTTTCTCGCGCTTTCTTCGTCGGATACCTGAGTGATTACGTGGGTTGCAAATTTCCAATGGAAGGAGAAGTAGCCGAGGATGCATTTGTCCAGCTCCTCGATGAGCTGCACAAGCAGGGCGTCCGGGTTCATCTTGTTGTGGAAGAAGGCCAGCAGATTCTGCTCGTAGCCCTCGGTCTTCTTCAGGTAATCGTAAGACAGCGTGCAGAGGTGCGGGCACTCGTTCAGATCTTCGAAACTGATTTGCGTCGCTGGAAAAAAAAAACAAATCCGGATCGGTTATTAAGACCAATTAATGGGAATGTAATTAACCCATGCATCAACTATATATATATATATATATATATATACTCATGTGTTATAGTAATTCATGCATCAACGATAATTACTATATTAATTTATGATATTATAGTAACTCCTTACTAAGTGGTTTAATATAACGTTATGGTAAATATCCCATGTATTATAGTAACTCAACTATCATAAATATGTATTGACATTATCATAAATTAGTATATAAAATTATCGTAAATAGAGGTGGCTCATCGGGCAGATCAACCGCGCGCAACATCATGAGCCCATCTACCGGGAGGAGCTACGCGGCGTCGCCTGTGATCGGGAAATGTGCGTCCTGCTCTCTCTGAGATGCAAGCTTGAGGCTAGATGAGAGAGAGAGAGAGAGGGTCTCGAGGCTAGGGACGGGGATCAAATTCGTTTCGCTGAAAAAATAAATCGAAACATCGTTCTACCTAATTTGTTGTGAGAGAAAAATGCTGTTTTAGTTAAAAAACAAATTAAAAAAGATAGATTATAAGATAAATGAACATGGCTAAAGGGTGCGGAGGTGCAGGAGCGAAACGAGTGCATGCATGGGATGGACCGGCACGGCACTATGTTCGGTTTCCTTTTGATCCTTTGGTCTTCGGGAGATCTAACTATTTGCCACTCTTACGGTGGCTGCCTCTCCGTTTGTCAACTTTATCGTGCCAATTACAAAATTGCCCGAGAAAACAGTAACCAGACTAATATTTTGCCATTTTCGCTGACGTGTCATGCCAGATCAACGCGCCAGCGTGGAAGTTAACGCCTCCGTCTCCGCTGACCAACGGCGCCCGCAACTGTTTGTCAGCTCCCCCTCGTCCTGCTCCGCTTCTCCTCCTTGTCCTCCTCCTCGTCCTGCTCCGCTTGGCCACCGGCGCGGGCGCGAGCGCTGAACCGCCTCTCATGCCAGCCTCACATGCCATTGCCAACCTCGCACTGCTCGCACCGCCACTCCACCTGCTGCTGCTCCTCCTGAGCCCTGACCACGAGGGGAGGGCGCTGAGCTACCAAGGAAGCCGACCGGAGCGGGTCGGTCAACGCTTGCTGTGCTGTGCAGCCAAGGAAGCTAGCGGCCTAGGAGGACGGACATGTTGGCGCCGCCGCTGCTGGTCGTCTAGGAAGCTCGCTCGCCGCAGCGGCAATGGATGGCCGGAGGAGGGGCGGAGGCGGAGCTGCGGCGGGTGCGGTGGGGTGGCTGCTGCCGCTGCTTCTTCTCGCCTCATTGTGCGCCCGCTCCCGCGGGCTCAATGCCGACAGGGTGCTGCTCATGGCCTTCAAGAACGCGATCACCGCGGACCCGCTGGGCGCGCTGGCCGGCTGGACCTACAGCGACGCCGCACCGTGCGCCTGGAACGACGTCGTCTGCAACAGCTTCCCGCAGCCCAATGCCGGACCGGCGGTGGTCAATGTGACCTCCGCCGACGGCAACGGCAACGGCAACTCCGTGCCCGCGCCCGCGCCGAACGCCGCCGCCGCCGCTGCGGGCGGGCTCGGCGCGTCACTGGTGGTGGCCACGGTGTCGCGGGTCATTAGCCTCGTGCTCCCCAACACGCAGCTCTCGGGGACGCTGCCGCCGGACCTCGGCCGCGTCGAGCACCTGCACCACCTCGACCTCTCCGGGAACAGCCTCAGCGGTGGCCTGCCGACCACGCTGCTCAACGCCACCGAGCTCCGCGTGCTCTCGCTCGCGGGCAACGCCATCTCCGGCGAGCTCCCGGACACGGGGGCGGTGGCCTACGTGCGCGGGTCTCTAGGAGCTCAACCTCTCGGGAAAGCGCGCTGGGAGCGCCTCCCCGCCCGCGCATGCGGGCTGCCCCGCCTCGTCGTCTTTGGGGCTCGCTAGCAACCGCTTCACCCATGAGCTCCCCATCGGGAACTTCGAGACATTGGAGCTCGTTGACCTCGCGGCAGCGGCTTCAACGGCTCCCTCCCGCCGGACTTCAAGGGGCACGGCTCCGCTTTGCTCAACGTTTCATCGAACAAGCTTCGACGCGGTGCCGACCGAAGCTGGCTGGCGCTCTCGTCGTCGCTGAACGCGACGGTGGACATGTCGCGGAACAACTTCACCGGCGCGATCCCAGGGACGGCCCGTTTCGCGCGCAAGCAGCCGGCGGCGGCATCCGAGGGCAACTGAACTGTGCAGGGGCCGCATTGAAGCGAGCATGCTCCATCCCGTCGTCGCTCTCGAACCCTCCCAACGCCACCGACTCGCCGCCGACGTTCGCGGCCATCCCCAAGAACCCCGCTCGTGCCCCGCCGGAGCCCCAAGGCAGCTGTGGCCATCCATTAGCAGGACGAGGGGGAGCTGACGAACAGTTGCGGGCGCCGTTGGTCAGCGGAGACAGAGGCGTTAACTTCCACGCTGGCGCGTTGATCTGGCATGACACGTCAGCGAAAATGGCAAAATATTAGTCTGGTTACTGTTTTCTCGGGCAATTTTGTAATTGGCACGATAAAGTTGGTAAACGGATAGTTATATCTCCCTTGGTCTTCGGTTACCGACGCCGTCAGGACGATGCATTCGAGCTTCGAGGACGCGGTACTGCCGCCACCGCCAATGCTGCTGGGATGACGCGCATCGCCCCTCCTCGCTTCCTCCGCTGTAGCAGCAGAGAAGATACGTTTCTGCTGCCGCGCGCCCCAGTGACTGCGACGATCATGTGTTTCTCCTGCGTGGTACAGATGAATCGATTACTTATCTCTGAGGCTGCCGATTCTTTGGATGAAACAAAAAGAACCTACTCACGTTTGAGAATGAACTCGTGCCGATTATTTTAAAAACCAAGCCAACAAGATCGTGTGCTGCTCGATCTGCTTGTGCGGGAAAGCATGAGAAAAAGTAAGGACGAAATTAATTCTCTACTATTTTGCAATTGGGAGCAAACAGCTGCAAGCATGCAACGACAATTTTGTTTATTCAACACACACAGGACCCCACAAGCACAGAGGTCGTTTTCCGTCAGAGGATGGATTCGAGCAAATCCACCAAGTAAATGAAGGGTAAAGATGATGGTGTATTTTTGCACCCATCTATACTGTCTGCGTTTGAATTTTCATGCAAATAAACAAATATATCCGCGAACGACCCAGAAAAAGGAATCAGCAGTGTGAAGGATAAATCTTATTTCAAGTTTCTTTCAAAAAAAAGTTGTACAATTGTACAAATCTGTCAGTACCTTCCTATTTACTGATAGGATATCACACAGGACCTCATCCCATCAAAAAAAGAAGCCAAAACCATATATGCTAATACAAGAAGCTGATGTTACAACCGATAAATATGAATATGAATAATCCTTATATCTGGAGAAGTGGACTGTGGACATACCAAGGGTGGTAGCCATAGCAGCGTCGCCTTTCAGACTAACCGCAGCCAAGCGGTAGCCATGACACCGCAAAAACCAAAACTATACTACTTATCGTGGTGAAGTAATACATGCCTCATCAACTGGCTCATAACTTTCCATTATTAAGTTAACTAGTAGGATGGATAGAAGCCTCCATATTTTGGTACTGCACAACTGTTCCATTCTACGAACGAAGTAGCTCTCTTTCTCTTAGCTTCACACTCAGTTCTTCCTTTGATGGTAGCTTCCACTCACCCTTCATGGCAGCAGACCACCATGCCTTCAGCTCATCCTAGAAAATGAAATCATAGAATTCATCGTATAAGTCATTTCCTATTCCAATTGATGGGATGGGACTAAAACCATTTCATGTCAATAGTAAATAGGAGCTATTGGAAAAAGTGGTTAAAATCATATGCTTTGAGAATGGAAGAAAAGAGATTTGGGAGAAATGTAAAGTATTTGATATGGTGTCTATTGTTAAACATGTGCCTTTTCCATTATCCACAATTTGCTAGGCATGCATTATATTAATGTCTCGGTACATAACAAATTTAGTATTTATTAGTGTTTAGATGGAATAAATGTATTTCACTGATTTTGTTAAACATGTTTCAATCCAGATTCAACCAAAATAAGATTACTTTGAATAATATCATTTGATGTGTAGAAATTCTAGAAACAATTTAGAAAAAAAAAAGTGACTGCCACATTTTGTCCAGATGAATAAAGCCACCACAAGAACTATTGGAACAATATTTCACAGCTCTCATAAGGCACAACACAACAGACAATAATTAGCTTTACCCTGTTCACTGCCATGAACTGGATACAAACTGGTTCATTTTTAATGTAGTGCCGCTGTGTTTGGTAAACTTTCAGTTATCACCCAACTAAGTCGGTCAAAACACAAAACTTCTATGCAGTAACATACCTCATGGAAGTCATGGTTGGATACAAAGCGAGAATCTACTTGACAGGTTGAATTTCTGATGGTTACAGAAAGGCGACTCCTATCCAGTGCTCCTGTAAGACATATCCATACCATTTACTCTCCTTTTCCATTTAACCACTGTTTTTCATTTTTTTAAGCAATGAACAAATGCTCTGCATGGACGAAGAATTTTCCAAATTCAATCACCAAATTAAGGCAACTTTTTAGTCATTTACCATTCAGACAGGCAACATGGTATCCTGTGCCACCCAATGCTTCCTCCCATTTACCAAATCGCAGTCGGACAAAAAAGCCATCTAACGTAGTGTGCATGATCGGTGATCTCAGCCATCTGTCATGAATAACAAACACAAAAAGGATCAAACATGAGCTTTCAGTCTTTAGGATCTTCTGTAACTTGAGCTAAGTGTCCACTATGGATGAAGGTGCTATTTCTCATGAAAAACAACAAAATGCTTATGTCAGAAAAGAAAAAAGAAAAACATGGCTTTATGTACTCAGAGATAATGCAAGTTCTTGTCATTTTTATGGCACACTAGTCTCTATGAACCAGGCAGTAGCAAACACTGAACTAACCATAACCACACAAGGTACTCCCTCAATCCCAAAAAGGAAGTCATTATAGTTTTGTCCTAAGTCAAACCATCATAAGGTCTTTCTTTTTGGATGTTGTACGGGTTTCTAAACCTTTTTACTCTTCTTCTTAATCGATGATACACACCTCTCTTGCGAGCTTGAAGAAAAAAAACATCATAAGTTTGACCAAGTTTATACAAAAAGTACAACCATTTACGATACCAAATCATCAGATTCACCATGAAATATATTTCATAGTATGCTTATTCTGTGTCATAAATATTGATAACTCAATTCTACAAACTTGGCAAGCTTAAGATGGTTTGACTTTGGACCAAACTAGAATGACTTTCTTTTTGGGATGGAGGTAGTATCTAACATTTATATATTTGTCCACCAAAATGTTCTAAGAAATCATTACTTACATGTTCCCCTTTCATAAAAGAACATAAATCACCTGAATGCAAATATACATGTTCTTCATAACAAAAATACACGTGCTTCCTAGAAGGCACGGATTCAAATGGTCCAGAAATCCAGTGGAGTACCTTATAATATCTGAGCGAGACAGGCGAAGCCTATGCAAGGCACCAAAAACAACACTTGATTCATCACAGACATCATTAGGCATAGTGCCATAAGGAACAATTTGCTTGTTATCTGACGGACCCACCATAAAATCTGAGACTCCTCCCTTTAATTCTACTTGGTTTCTGTCAGTATCTTCAGCCAATGTGTTCAGTTCTAAATTATGCTGAGTTGCAGATTTGCCAGCTGTGTTCCCTCCATGATGCTGATGCTCACGCTCAGATATAAAGTTTCCTCTTAATTCTTCGTTGCTTAGACACAGTTGTTCCTTGCCTTTGTCACCTACCCACAAAACCATTCTTCCGTTTCCGCTAGAAGATTTATGATTTTCGTGTCCTGCCTCTACTTTATCATGGCTGCTGTAACTAACAACAAAAGAGTTAGTTTTGTGGTTTCTCAGTTTGGGACTTCCACGCTCACATGCGGTAGCCAACCTTACTGCAGAGGTGTTTGCATGTCTAAGTGCGTCCAATCTCTTTGCAAAAACAGAAGCCATTGTTTCAGATTGCTTAGGTTCCTCTGGAGGCGTTGCTGGACATTTACTACTTGTTACACCATCGCTGCTTCCTCTGCCAGTGAAGCATTGTATATTGTTCAGTTCCTTCTCCAAATTAAAATTCTGAAGAGGTGGACAACACAACTTGTTACCCACAGCCTGTGGATTAACAGCATTCTCTACATTGCATGGTGTTGCCTCCATCGGTTCCACTGATTCTTTTGGCAAAAGCCGAGTTACCCACAAGCTTTCCCTTAAACCACCTTTATTTTGTGTTGAATCATTTGAGCAGGCAGCTGTGCACTGATTTTGTTTTTCTTCTAGAGGTCTAGAGCTAAACTTACTGGAACTAGGCAGTTTCATATTTCTTTCTGGTCTCATTTGGAAAATATCAATTTGACTCTGAACATTTCCTCTACAGCCACCAGAAATCATCTGAAAGCGTTCATCAGCTAAAGTCTCAGTAGCCACATCAAGAGTTTCTCTACCCATGCCAATTTGTTTGTCCAACATAGAATTGTTATCATTTAATTCCAGGGTCAGTCTATTGAACACATGCCCAGCACAGTTGCTTTCTGGTTGACGACAATTATCTCTTGAAGTTATCATAACATTATGAGTATACAGGGACTGGAAGAGCGAATTGAAGCCAACAGATTGCAAAGGAACGCTGCTGTTATTTTGAAGTGGCTGGGAAGGTGCTGCAGATCCCTCTCCTGTACTTGCTGAAAACTTCTGATCAAGTGGAATGGCAGCAGTGGCTCCATCAAGCATGGATAACCCATTCGTGAGTGATGACATCCAGTTGAAGAAAGATGTACCACATTTTTTCAATAATCCTGAGCAAGAACTCTCATTGTCTTCTCTTCTAAATCTTTTGTTTCCAGAAGAAGGCATCATGGCTGCACAACACTGCGCATACTTCCGTTTTGGGGCTTTTGTACTTGTACAGCTCTCGATGCTCTCATTGCTGTCATCACCCTCCCTTGTATTGTTACCACAATTGCTATCATTGTACACAACTTTTTCTTTGCCTTTCACAAGCTTTCTGGAATTAACTACAGGTGCTGACTCGCATCTTGAAACAGCATTAACACCAGATGCTGACTCACCTTTCGCAACAACAGGCTCATCCTTATGGCTTTCCTGGAGAACCGGACCTTGGCGATTGTCATGTGAATGAATTTCTGGAACATTACTAATTACATTGTTGTCACTGCCCAGGCTTTGAACATTTCTATTGCCTTGGGAACTTACCAATTTGCCTGAGACCTCTCCTGCATCACATGAAATTCCTAAGGAAGAAGGTAACATCGGATTCTCTGTGTTCATTGGCAACATAGATTCTTTCTGACAAATTGCTTTTACTAACCGAGCACGCCATGAATTAGCTGCCCAAGATCTTTCATTGCAGACAGTGGTTGCACAATACACCTGGTTTTCTGAAATACTAGGCATGACTTCTTTTCTGGAGGCTGAACCTGAAAAAAGCCATGATAAATATTTGTCACGAACAAAAAATAACAAACTTGTCTTAATTGATTTTCCAAAACATTAAGTATTACTATGGGAAGCATCCTTGCAACATCTTGTGGGATAATTCCCCGCTTCCATGTCCTCCAGCTTATCCACACAACAGTTTTCCGACTCTTCTTTCCCTTCATTCATGACATTAATCCCTTCATCACAGCACTCTACAAGTTTAGCTTTCAACAAAGTTAAGTCAGATAATAGAAAAGATAACTTCTTAATTTTTTAATCCTATTTGGCCAAAGAAGTTGAGCTACTAGCTAATACTCCCTCCGTTCCAAATTATATGTCGTTTTGGCTTTTCTAGATACATAGCAAAAGCAATATACCTAGAAAAGTCAAAACAACTTATAATTTGAAACAGAGGGAGTACATATGTATTATGAGGCATATGTATTATGAGGCAGATGAAACTTGAAAATCTAGAAAAGTCAAAACAACTTATAATTTGGAACAGAGGGAGTACATATGTATTATGGGGCAGATGAAACTTCAAAATCTAATATAACAAATGATAGGCAATAGAGTTCCCTAACAAACCTTAAAAAAGAGAAGAGACTTGGCTTGATTTTGAGGTGTAATTTGTTCTGATTATGTTAACACAGTGCTCTTTATATTGATTGTATTAGACCCTTCTAACATGATGAGCAGCTAGCTAGACCAATAAAGAATTGGCAAATTCATATCTCTGGGCAAAAAGAAAAGAAAAAAGAATTGTATTCAAACTACCAGCTCTCTGAATTAAATTATGTCTTTTAGACTTACTTGAATCTTGCTCCTGCGATCTCATAGACGTAGATTGTAGGGCATCGACATTTGTAACTCTATTGGGGCTATCCATGGTTACTCTCACTGAGCTATCACTACGAATCCGTAGTTGTGATGGCATCTTTTCTGACACCTCTAGGTTATCATATATGGTATCACCGCTCTTTACACCTGGACCAGAACCACTCTGTTGAGGTGAAGATATTAATATGCTCAACGTATCTGCATTCCAACGAAGAGAAGCCTTCCTTGTGCTTAGACTGGACGCCGCAATTTTAATGCTCAAGCCCTCATCCGGAGACCACACCAGCTCAGAGAGGGGGCTCATGCCGAATTTTTGGACTGCATTTACACCTGCACCTGAATGTCGACAATGGACCTTCAGAAAGTTATATAATATATGAATAGTCCTCTGCATATTATATTATATAATATAATTTATAGTTTGCTTGCGCATAGAAGAGCCGGGGAAGGAAGATAGCATATGACTGTAAGTACAAAGTGAAAGTTAGCATGAATGTGGTGCTGTTCCTCGCGCCGGAAGCTGGTGACATGAATCTGGTAATGAAAATTCTCAATTTTTTTTGGTGATGCTTTGAGGCTTAAAACCAACCTTCAAAAGAGCAATGTTTTACCCATCAGGTGTGGTGATATGGAGCTGACCACCATCCAAAACTTGTTGCCTTGTGTGGTGTCCGAATTCCCTTACAAATATTTAGGTTTACCCCTCTCCCTTAAGAAGCTCACTAAGGGGTAGATCCAGCCTATTATTGATAAGATTGCAGATCAGCTGCAAGGTTGGAAGGCGGACCTCATGACTAGGGCGGGAAGAAAAGTGCAGGTACAGTTTGTGCTCACTGCTACGCTAGTGTACCTTGTTATGGCCATAGACTTCCCTCCCTAGGCCATCAAAGCTGTGGACAAACTTAGACGGGGTTTCCTATGGAGGGGAAGAAAGGAAGCAAAAGGGGGTCATTGTCTTGTGGCATGGGGCAAGGCGAGCCGTCCACGGGGGCTTGGTGGTTTGGGGATCTCGGACCTGAAATATCTTGGATGGGTGCTGTGGATGCGCTGGGTTTGGCTTCAGAAAACGAAACCCCATAGGCCCTGGGCAAACTTTCCTATTGTAACATCCCCGCCTAAATGGGCCGAATTCCGGTTGGGCCGAGGCACTGTAACTGCGCGCGTGGGCTGTGGTCCGAGGCTGTAGCTGCGGGTACTGCAGCACAAGGTGGGCCGGGGCAAAATCGACGGTAGCCGTGCGTCACTGTTCAAGCGAGTACTGTAGCATCAACGCTGTGCAACCAGCCTTTAGTCCCAAATCCTAGGACAGCCAGACCGACTTAAATAGCCAGGCCAAGGACGCGTAGTAACCTTCGGTTAACCGTTTTGCGCGAAGCGATGACGAAATCACAAGCGGGTTGCTACGTAGGTGGGGCCCACCCCTCGGTAGAGTGGGCCTGTGCCGTGTGCCAGGCCTGGGGTGTTACAAATGGTATCAGAGCCAACTCTCGCGGTTTCACGGACATATGGCTCGAGAGCTACGATAGGTTGCGCATGGCTCTACAAGAGCATGGCACTTGGGTCGGGGAGCTGGAAATATGGACGTAGGCCAAGAGAGTCGATCCTGAGCATTTGTCCTGAATAGGGTAAGCGAGTCTGGCATTCGGCAAGGACGTCGAATTCTAAGGGGGGTGATTGTAACATCCCCGCCTAAATGGGCCGAATTCCGGTTGGGCCGAGGCACTGTAACTGCGCGCGTGGGCTGTGGTCCGAGGCTGTAGTGGGGGGCACTGTAGCGTCGAGGCGATCCAAAATTGGTACTGTAGCGCGTTGCACTGCTGACATTCACTGTTCACGTAAATACTGTAGCATCGCGGAACACTGTGTGCCCGGTCCCACACTGTGAATCCTAGGATGGCCAGACCAATTTAAATAGCCAGACCAATGACGCGTAGTAAACTTTGGTTAACCGTTTTGCGCGAAGTGAGGACGAAAACGCAAACGTGTTGCTACGTAGATGGGGCCCACCCTCGGCAGAATGGGCTTGTGCCGTGTGCCGGGCTTGGGGTGTTACAAATGGTACTGGGGTGTTACACCTATCCAGGTGCCTGGATAGGTCCAGGCCTTCTTCAGATTAGCGGTTGTCTCTGAAGTTGACAATGGGGCAAACACTCTTTTCTGGGCTGATAAATGGTTGAATGGACAATCAATTGCAGACCTAGCCCCTCATCTTCTTGCTGGAATACCAAAAAGGATAGTAAATAAACGCACAGTTGAAGAAGCTCTTAATGATCGTGCTTGGGTTCTGGATATCCGAGGTATCATGACAGTGGAAGTAACGGTGGAGTTCCTCAATCTCTGGGATCTCCTTTATGATTTTCAGCTACAGTCGGAGGTTGAAGACGCTCACATTTGGCGTCTTTCTTCTAGTGGTCGATGATTCGCCAAGTTAGCATATGAGGATTTTTTCATAGGATCCACTCTTTTTGGCCCATATGAGAGAATCTGAAATCTTGGGCTCCACCCAAGTGTCGTTTCTTCATGTGGGTGGTCGCACATGACAGGTGTTGGACGGCTGATCGGCTTGTAAGGCGGGGGCTACCACATCCGGCACAGTGCCCCCTCTGTGATCAAGAGGAGGAAACCGTTAACCATCTGCTGGTTTCTTATGTCTTTGCTCGGCAATTTTGGTTCTTTTTGCTCCAGCACTTTGGGATCCAACAATTCTGTCCACGCCTTCAAATTTGTCTTTTGATGTGTGGTGGGAAAATTCAAGCAATGCTACTGTTGGGTTAACAAGGAAGGGTTCAACTCTCTTGTGATCTTAGGAGCTTGGACCTTGTGGAACCACCGAAATATGTGTGTTTTTAACGGAGTTACTCCCAACTTGGGTGGTGTTTTAGGTTTTGCTCTAGAAGAGAGTTGGCTTTGGGCTGTGGCGGGGGCTCGGAGGCTATCTTTCTTGGCTTCCCAGCCTCCCCCTCCCCCTATAGCCCTGTAGTATGGAGGATGTCTAGTCTTGGTCGTCTCTTTGTTTCCACAGGCGCGTTTGTACTTTTATTTTGGAGTGGTGTGGTGTGTGTTGTAACTAAGGTCTCTTCCCTTTTTTCTTCTTAATATAATGAAGCGTAGTTCTCCTGCGTTTTCGAGAAAAGTTAGCATGAATGATATCTATATAAGGCACATGATGTGATTCCTTTTCCTTGCGTGTAGCAAAGGCATATATGTTTGTTGTAAAAATACTCCTGGTATATGCATCTGATTAGAAAGTATTCGATGAAGTAGCTGCAAAACTTGTGTCTGTTTGATCTTTTGTCCAAATTAAAGCACATATTGACAGCATCAATGCCATCAAACGAACAATATTGGGTTCTAGGAACCCCCAACGGGGTGCATGATACATGGATCATGACGTGAGAAAACACACGCACCCACCCAAAAAAGGAAAGCACCATCTACATCCGATCGTGCTTGTTTTTGCTAAAATACGATACAGAAAAGTACGGTGAAAACTTTGCCTGAAAAACTGAATAAGAGAGCGCATAAATAAGCAAAATGATCTAGCCTGATGTGCCAGACAGCAACGGGCGCACCTCTGGGAGTAGCAAATCACTACCATCTCATCTCACTGCATTCGCCCCATCGCGGCGCGCCGGGCCTCAGAAACACCACACCGGCACCAGAGAAGCGGGCGGAGGACTTGTCGATCGCGCACCACCTGCTTTCGGCTGCGCCGAGCCGCAAGGCCTACTACAGCTACAGGACGGGAGGGGTTTCAGCAGGTGGGGATCGCGGCGAAGGGTCCGTCGAGCGTCCTGGCTCGGTGAATCTGGGAGCGGCGGCCGAGGGGGTGCAGGAGCACGGCCAATGAGTGAGGCCAGAAGACTTGTTTTGCATGCGTGGGAGGCATGAGGCGGAGGCTGTTCCACGTAGAGGCCGCGAGGGACACAGGCGCCCGTGCGCTGGGTCTACCGATGGGAGAGGGGGGTGTTTCGGGAAACCCGGAGCGGCGCTGCGCCTCTGGCCTCTCCCTTTCCTTTTGTGGCCTCTGCTGTGTGCTGTGCAGCCGCTCCGTGCGAGCGGCCGTGGACCGTGATGCGGATGGCCAAGGCCGAGAGATCGGATGGCTCTTGCGCGTCGCGGTGGTGGATCCACGAACGGCAGCCACCGGAGGCCGGATGGGTGGGGGTGCCGTGCGGAGGCAGCAGGCCTTGATGAGCTGTCCGTCTCGTGGTGGGGTTGCGCGAGACGCGGAGGGGATTAGGATTGGGCGATTGGGATTTGCCGGATTGGGTTGGGCTGGGCTTGGAATGCGATAGGATGACGGGACGGCGGCGAGAGGATAGAGAGGAACACCGCGATCGCTCAGGCTGGACCTTTCTCTTTCCATTTCGGAAAGGCACCACCAATAGTACTATAGTAGGCTCCATTTGGCACTTACGTAGAGCTGTTGCTCATAAAGAATTAGGGATTTTTTTTACTAATGCCCTGTTCGTTTGGCTGATAAGTCATGATTGAAAGTACCGTTGGCTGATTTGTTGTAAGAGAAAAATATTATTCATTGACTAAAAACGTACGGCTTATAAGCCAAACGAACCTGGCGTGTGTATATATATATATACTCTCTCTCCCTCCGTCTCCGTCATGAACAACAATATAGTAGTCTTCATTTGGTTTTCTGCAGAGCCGTTGCTCATGAAGAACTAGGGATTTTTTTACTAAAACTATACTCGTAGCTCTACCGGTGTTGACAACAAATGCTAGGTCAGGGGCGCAGGGCGTCCGATCGTCCGAACGCCTCCATTGCCATGGGCCGCGACGGTACGAATGGCCCAACTATCCCAGATGCCTCATCCGATCGGTTGTTTGATAAAAAAAACGTTCGGTTGTCTTCTTCACTCACGGGTCTCTACAAACGTCATTCCCCAATCCCCACTCGCTGCCGAATTCCAATTCTGTGCTCCACCGTGACCGCGCTCCAGCGGCGCTCTCGACCGCGGCTGGCCGGCCGCCATCCTCCATCTCCACCTCACCTGAGCGCCGCCGACCGCCTTCCTCTCTCTCCACCGCAGTTCACCGACCATCGCGCGGCATCAGTTTGTTGCGCCCGCCCAACCGCTTCTGTCCCTCTCCGACGGCACCTCGAGCCAGGAGCGGCGACTAATCAGCCCCCGCCTCTCTTCCCCTCCACAGAGATCGCCCCGCATCCTCGCTCGGCGACGGCATCCAGCGATGCGGACGAGATCAGGTAGGGGCAGCGCCGCCCGCCTCTGCTAGCGTTGGTGGTGCCGTCGCGCGCCTCAGGTCAGTCCCCACCAAGCCAAG